TATGAAAATGTAAATTCTGAATTTTTATGCCTTAACACTTTGTTTTGTGACTCTTCAGGCTGGGATATAGTCATCCGAACAGCCTTCAATATTTTAGCTTTAAAGATCATGAAAAGGTGTACAAGGAACTTCATAAACGCTGGATAGATGTGTTCAACATTGCGGATAGTCTCGAGAAGGAGAACAATAAGCTAAAGGATGAGAATATGAGGATAAAGTTCGAGGCTAAATAGTTGGAAGAGGAGAATGATGCTTTAAAGTCTACCATAACCCAAGTGGAGGTGACCATTCTAGTCATGACCAAAAGTTGGTGAAGGTAAGAGAGAAACTTGAGTACCCACGAACGACAGACCTTTCAACGACTTAACACCTGTAAGAGCCAATTGGATATCCTAGCTGCTATTGAGAATAATCATAATAGAGCGAGACTTGGTTTTAAGCCTACTATATTTGTGCGTCCATCAGAGAAAACATGTGAGTCTTCAAAATCTACGCCTAAGGTTTCAAAAAATACTAAACGACGAAGGCGTCGATATATGTGTCATTATTGTTATGCACCCACGCACATTAGACCTTACTGCTACAAATTGCATTCATTTGATAGGTCTTTTGAACCAATGGTGCCTCCCATGTCTCGTAATTCATCCAAAAATGGGAACTAGGACTAAAGAAAAATTTGTTTGGGTACCAAAATCTGAGATGAAATGCAATGTTATTCATACTTCTTTGAAGTCTAATATTGCAGGATCATGGTACTTTGATAGCGGGTGTTTGTGGTACATGACCGGCACTCGTGATTTTTTGTCCGATGTTGAATCACATGAAGGTAGACGTGTTACATACGGGAAGGCGAACGTGGAAACATCATAGGACGGGGAACACTAAATGTTGATGGTCTTCCAAATCTTCATAATGTGTTGTTGGTTCATGGACTTAAGGCTAACTCAATTAGCATAAGTTGACTTTGTAATGATAATCTCCATGCTAAGTTTGATCGTAAGTCTTGTGAAGTTTTCGATGAGTATAATTCATGTATTTTGGCAGGTGTACGAACTACCTAAAATGTTATCGGGTAAAAAATGTTGAGTATGATGTTCGGGACTTGATGGACCTTTTGCTACGTAGTGCTGCTCCAGGTGTCGTCCCAGATGTCACCCCAAATGTCATGACACCTGTCACGTCATCAGAAACAACACCTCAGGCGAGACGCATCTTCGATGAGCAAAATACCATTTTTGAGGCTAAGACACAATCTAGTGTGAATGTTACTGATCCGGGAAGAGTAGTTCGAAGATCTCGTCCCATACCGCAAGTCGTTGGTGAGGTAACAAATAGAATTTTGTTTAATCTAATGGTATGAAAGTTGAGTGGTGTTTTCAATACTGTTAATGACAATATATTTGAGAGCATATTCGTTAATGATGTGGTGTCTTTGCATGATATGAAATCAAATTTTTCTTGTTGTCAACTTTTACGGATAAATCAAATGATTGAGAATTATGGTCGACATAGTGATTTCTTAACCGTGTATTGTGATAACAATAGTGCAATTGATATTTAAAAAAATCCGGTTCAACATTCTTGCACAAAGCACATAGATATAAGACATCACATTGTTCGTGATTTGGTTGAGAAAAATAGTACATAGGGATCGAGAATCATTTTGCGAATATATTCACCAAGACATTAGATTAGGAGGGATTTTTTAATTTAAGGAGATATCTCTATTTTTGCAGTGTTTGAATTAGAATAGGAGTCGTGTTGCAACTTCCACGATGCATCATCATTGTAACACGAGTTTTTGCATACATGTATTTTTTATTTCTTTTCATTCATAATTGTATTCTTGTGCATAAACGGTATATTTGTTGGAGGCATGAAGTTGTGATGATGCACTCATTCACTTGATAAATGAATTATTGGTCGTATAAAAAAAACTTTCAAAAAGAAAAATTGCATGTTGGAGACTTTGAAGGGAAAGAGCTACCTATTCCATAAGAATGCAGCTAATCCTTGTGACCGAATTCTTCTATAATTAAAAATATGTCAAAAAGAGGAATGATCAAGTAGAAAGAAGGCTACCTTTGGTTTAGTGTGAAAGCCACCTCATTGTCATTATTCTTCGTGTAAAAAAAAAAATGAAGTGCGATTTCTAATATATGTAAAAGTGTTAAACGCGTCGTTATTTCTTTTGTTCTAACTTTTATTATATCTTTCACATTTACGTTTCTTTTATTTATTTTAGGCATAAGTAGGACATGCATACTTGGTGAATGTAAAAGTTATGATCTTGTTTCTTTGTGCAACGTGTAAATTATAGAAGTATCTTTTATGTCTTGGAATGAATAGTGTCTTATGTGGAGTCAGTTCGCGAGTTTGGAAAATTTGGGTGACTATGAGATTGACGTGCATTATGATTGTGAAATCTATATTTACGGTTTTGATATTAATTTTTTGATATAATTTCTATTGATTTTGGTTTCTCCGTAGTGAGTCTCTTGTGCGTTTGCATCTCTTTAGTCCATCTTTATTTCTTTTGCGATCAAAATGTTCTTGCTTGTTATTGTCCTTTACATT